TTTTAATCATTTCAACCCAAGCAAGGCAATAAAGCCGCTAAGACGCAAGGAGGTCACTGAGCGTGATAGAATATAAGAAAAAGAAAAAAAACATTATTAATGAAAGAGAATAAGAAGAAAAACCATATTTCGGAGAGAGAACTATAAAAGAAGAGGAATTAAGAAAACAGAAGATAACGATTGGCATTACATTTAAATTTTCAAAAATCAAACTTAACTGGAAAGCAAGAATCCAGAAGTGAATGATTAACTGATGCATTTTCTACGGTTTATCAACCCTTTGCAGGTTATTTAAAGCCAGTAAAATTTTTTATCAACACTGCAGGTTATTTAAAGCTAGTAAAATTTTTTAGATAGTAATAATTTTTTTGAGATTATAATGGTTTAGTGATACACATCTTACTAATTAACCCATAGCTGGGAGGAGAACAGGTGGATTCATACTTTTCTCAAGGATATTTGAGCGTAAGTGAATATAACAAACCCGACGGGAATTAAAACTCCGCTCTTCGATTAACAATTCCGAGCCATTATCCATTACACCTCCCACACATCCAAGCTGATAGGACCTGTTATTCCGGAGCGGTCACCTATCTAGCTGCTGACCATGCTTGACGTTGCTTAACTAGAGTGATCGTACGAGAATCTGTGTTTGAATGCGATGTGACGGTAAGCCGCAAAAGAATTTCACAAGCGAGAAAAGAAAGTCGAAGCATAGAAATTACGGTTACGTTTTGCCATTAGAAACCCATACACAGAAAGCAATAGATAAAAATATCTTCGACACATAATGAGGAAAAGGAGTCTGGAGAATACAACACTCACAGGGCATATTGAACATAACAGAAGCGGAGGGGTATAATAATAATAATAGCTGGCCACTCATATTTGAGGATACCCATCTACTAGGGCGGCTTGCTAATCCCTATTGCAGACGCTTGCTCAGGCTCATTTGTGTTTGTTCAACACCCACAGAGCACACTTGTGGTTTATGCGGCAACTATGCTGAGCAGGCCTCAATTACAGTTTCTGAAAGAGAGCGTGTTATCTAGCGTGACCACAATTTGAACTAGACCAGTACAGCTATCTAAGTCCACTAGAGTTCTGTCTACCCAATTTCACTCACAAGGCTTGGGTCAGGCATTTTCCAAAGGTGCCGACTCCGAACCAGTCCGATAACATAAGGAAGTCGCCTTCCTGACAAATGCCGAGATTCGAAGTCAGAAAGCGAACGTGCTAATCACTCGGCCACGATCCCATTAAAGCAGACGAGAAGTAGTGGTAATCTAGTTAATATCAAAGAGAGATGGTAAAGGATCCAAATACGGAAAGCTGTGGAGAACCATGATCAAACATGTTCTGAAAGGACATAGATCTTCTACATTTCTCTAGGCTAAAAATTCGATGTACGAAATTACATACTTTTTCGATAGACAAGCTGACGAATCTGGTTGTCGCACGTTAAACTGTAAAGTTTACAAGTGGAGACCCGAAACACATTGATACAGGAAAAGAACTTTTTCTATTTTCATTTATTTACCGATAATTAGTTAGCTGGAGGGCAAAATATACCTTTGATTCTAAGTGGAACGGTTAGATTGAATCGGTTTTGAAGTCTGTTCTCAGGGAAAACGTTTTACGACATCGTGACAGGCAGTTTTTCCAGCCAGAATCAATCTTGCACCTTAAGAAGTCTACCAGGCTCTCGTCCATCGAATATTGCTGCCACATCTGCTATATATCTAGAGTTTCTTGACAAAAATCTAAAGAAGAATCTGCAACTTTATAGGTCCTGACCTGACATGTCGGCTTTCTCGCAGCCATAACCTAGCTCCCCTTTGCTTCTTCTAGAAATATTTTCTCGGAAATTGTTCCAAGGAGCTTTCCGCTTTGGTTAACTCGTCTTCGCCAATTTAAGCTCAGCACTCGATTGGCAGTTAGGTCTCAGAAATTGGTAATTGTGACCATAAGCTTTATGCTAATCATTTCATCTCCCACACTTCTCTCTTGTGGAACGCACTTCTGGTTTTCTGTTTTCTTGTCAACTACGATCTTCGAAAATTTCAATGCAATGTCAATCGTCATATATCTCTGTAAAACCTATTCTATTATTTTCTGTCCTGTATTTCATTCACACTCAGTAGCTCATCGCTTCCTAATGGATTTTATTGTCTTGTTTGGGGTGAAATGATTAAAAAAAGTGGTGCAAAATGCACTTCCTCCATTCGACTAGACTATATAGTAATATTAAAAATTACAATTTCCAAAAATAAGTCCAAAATATTCGTTAAAAGCAAGTTACAATATTTATAGAAATTCCTCATTGTTACGCATATTATAAATTACTTTCCGCATTTTAAATTTTAATTATTAATAACTGTGAAATATTTTGGTAGGTACGTATTTAATTTAAAAAATAAAGAAAGTGATATTTACATGTTAAACATGAATCTACGAAACCCGGAAAACAAACGTGAATGTTGCTTTTTTTTTCCGCTTCGATATGAAATGTTTCAGATTCACGTAAGCAACATCAGCTTTTCAAAGATTTTTTTCTCTCCATGCTTGTGAAATCGACATTTCTGACGCCATTACAGTATTTGGTAAAAATCAACGCTTTTCTCCCAGCCTGAAAGATTAAATGGTTATACAATCTGTACTACAATTCCACATGGGTATCATCAATTTAACACACGTTCCACTCACCCGAATCTGCCAATATAAACAAAATCTAAGATACTTTAACCAATTATTAAAAAAAAAAAATTGCCATTGAGACTTATCCTTATCGGCGAGTTCGATTTCTATCAATGTTTAGCATCTGATAGAAATCGAACTTGCGAATTCAATTTCGATCAGTTGCTCAACTCTAAGTTGAGCCAATTAAAGATCAGCAGTAACAAAAAGTGTATTACAATCTGTATTTATTGATTTTTAGGATGATAGTTACGAATTTCATTTACACGAATGGTATCGAAATATTTTTGGATTACCTTATCTTGTCTGGTAGGGAACTATTGCTAGCTGCCGCTAGGTGGCGCTGCGGAAAACAGCACATAAAGAAAAGGGGACATGATCGGTCGGTCGGTCTCTCTCATGTCATAGACACAGAACAGATCCTGTTTCCACTATGTGGCAACTTTTTAGCGCTCAGCGAACTACGTGTTTCATTGTACACAACCCAGCATACACTTCTCGGATTTCTTTAATAAGATTTTACTCACTGCATACGAACGAACGAGGATATTTTAATATAAACCTTTCTATTTGTATCATTTTATATCTGTCGTAATTAAGTTTTGCTAAGGCAATAAAATGTTGTTCGATGTGCAATAATGGCCGTAATTTCATTCTAATTGCCTTTTCGAAAAAAATAAAATATATATAAACGTCCAAAACATTCCCAGTATTCCTTCACTAATACATAAAATATTAAATCACCACAACTGGTAATCCTAATACAACATTGTTCCTACAAAACGGAGGAGCCTGTCAATCTCACGAAATTGAGTTACACTTGCAACGGAGCGCTATTTACTATTGGTGACCATAGTTTCGTGGAAGTAAAATTAGTTTATTCCTTATTTGTATTGAAAATAACGTATTATAACAAGTGCTTGAACCCCAGAGAGATTGATCGTCTTTTTGCCCCTAGGCCCCTGTACATGTAGGACTCCCACATTAAAGTCTGCCTTGTGCCACAATTGTGACCATATGTTAGTTTAGTAAGCCTCTATATTGACCTTGTAGAGGTTAGTAAGCTAGGGCCTATTGCTACAGTAGTGAATGCAGTTTTCACAAGTGCACTATGATTTCTGCCTTGTATCTAAGCTAAGCTTTCAATTCTAAAAGCAATTTGGCTAAGTTCAGTATCGCTAGTTAAACATGCTTTACATATGCAAATGTCGTGAGAATATTATCGAATGTTAATTGAATTGTCTTTGTATTTCTGTAGTTTCAATCTTAGTCAAAGGCATTCAAGTGCTGGTTCGTGTATTTGATGACAGTCATCGTCAGTTCAATCCCTATGCTGGGAAGTACGGTGGAAACAGGGCGAGCAGAATGAGATAAAAACAAGACTACGTATCACGAGACATGGACAGAGGAACGAGAAGAATCTACCCTGTAAATTATAAATAAAGGTGGTTTTCACCTGAAGCTTAATCGGATCGACAAGCAACTGATGAAGGCCTGAGGTGACAATGGTCGAAGCGTTGCGACAAAAAAAAAACAAAGATGATGACAATAGTACGAGTGTAAATAATAGTAATAATGATAACTCCCCACTCCATAGATTGTGACCAATTGGCATTTGTTACGGGAATGATTCAATATCTTTATGAATACTTTATGTTAATTGAAATCATATGTTAAGAATTGATAAGACATCCTCAAAATATAACACATAAAGCAATATGACATTTTAGAGCTTTATAAAGAAAATCTGTTAATTAGAAATTTCTTTTTTCATATTTACACTTATAACATCGTTCAGACTATAGTCCCGATATAGTTTTTGGCATATTAACGACGTTTCGGTCGTTGTATGCTCCGGGCTTCTTCAGGTGATATACGTTGAAATTTTGAACCGAATCCTTTTATTCCCAGGAAGTTGATTGATTTCCATTTGGCATATCTTTTTTTTTTTTTTTTTTTGATATCTCAGTTTCAATTATTTCCCTCTAGTAACTGAACTCTCCAAGTTTTGTTTCCTCTGCTGTGGCTAGGTATTGAACTCACAACTCTTTGGGTCTTTTCTTTATGTTAATTGATTTTTTTTTTTTACAGCTTATCAACCTTTTGCAGGTTATTTAAAGCTAGACTGTAAGAATGTTTTTGAGATAATAATTTACTGAAACAAGTCCTAATGATTAACTCATAGGTGGGTTCATGCCTTTCCCAAAGGTATTAGCGCGTAAGTGACTATAAGGAGCTCGAATTCGAACTTGGCCATTTTAATTCCGACCCGTTATTCGTTACACCATTCACACATCCACGTTTACAACATTTGGTATTCCCAAGCGGTCACTCATCTAGCTACGGACTAGGCTCAACGTTGCTTAACTTCAGTGATCATATGACAACCGGTGTTTCAACATGGTATGATTATTTGGTCTATGGAAATAATTAAATGATATGGACTTCGAGATTTTCAAGATAGAGATTTGTATTTCCCAGAAATTTAATTAAACCTTGCTGCACTGTGAAAGCTTTCTGTGACTCAGACATCGATAGTATTACCGAATCAATAACATAACGTCGACTCAGACTCGAATTCTGACGAAAGAAATTATAAAGTTTGGTTTGTTTTACGGCATATCAACCTCAATGGGTTATTTAACGTCGACAAGATTCTAGGATAGGTTCGTATAAATAGAATATGTATTCTTTGTAAGAAATCAGTTTGATTTGGTTTGTTTTACGGCAGATAAACCTCAATGGATTATTTAACGCTGACAAGATTTTTATTACTTGTAATATTTTTCAAAAAAAGTATTGGTGGTAATATTTTTCCCAAGAATTTATTGCTGGTAATAATTCTTTTACAATTTTTTTTACTTATATTGAAACCTTCTTTTACACTTTCGTAGTGCTTGGACTCCAATTTTGGGGGTTAACTATTTGCCCATAGCTAGGACCCTAACAGGTGCTACCACCCCGGGTCAGGGTGGACCTGGGAACACCAGCAATTAAGAGGGGGTTCCACGCTCCTCAAAACCTCCTGATCAGAAGCCTTGCTGTTGGATGAAGTTGATCGCCCAGGACTCGGATGTAGTTTATCGTCAGAAAAAAATAAGGGATCTTCTCAATATACGTGTATCCACTAAATGTAACGTGTAATAAAATATATGCTTATATGTAGTTAAGTAAACTTAGGGCAGTGGTTACCAAACGATCCATCGCGCCTCAAAGGTGCGGCGGAAGAGGGTAGCAGGTGAGGTGGAATAATTAAAAGACAATCAAAGATTTAGAAACAATTTTTAAAAATTCATATGCTAAAAATAAATATGATTTCAAAATTTAAAATATTATTATGGATTACATATAAATGCATGTACGAGTCCTAGTATAAATAGTTATAATTATTGACTGATTTTATCATTGTGATATTTTTACATAGTAACTACGCTCTGCAAATAGGAGAAGAGAGTTATCAATGCTAATGTTTTAACTTGAAATATGCAGTTATCTCCTTTTAACCCTCCCTCTGTTTTTTTTTAATTTTTAAATATACTTTTTATCACATAAAATTTGCTGAGGCAAATTTTCGTCACAAAAGTGCGGCCCAGAGAAAAACAGTTTTAGAACCACTGGCTTAGGGTATTTTTATACTATGCACTTTCTGTATTGCGTTCAATTCACGCCCTCCCAATAGGGGGAAACGAGACACGTCATATCTCTAAGAGATCCTGTAGGTTTCTGTTCCTATTTTCTTTTATACTGCTTTATGTAGAGGTCGTTAGCAGAAGTTCTTTAACGGACAAATAGGGCTAATTCGCATGTTAATATTAGAAAATGATTATTTGCTACTTGTCCTATATCAATAAATGCAACTTTATTGTCCCGATAAATATTATGAATTAACCAGAACACTACCCCGACGATCAATAGGATTAAACCAATCTTACTGGAATTGGTTTCTGTCTCTAAGAGCGTATACTTAAGCGTATAAATTCCTCTTTGGAGGGATTTTCAACGTAGGCTTATTATCTCTCAGTTGCGTCTCTGTCTTTGGGCAGAGTGCGCTCAGGGGCTTCTCTGTCAAAGGACAGAGGGGCAACTGAGGAAAATAATACTGAAGAGGTGCCCAGCCCTGGGGAACAGCTGCCCGAGGCCGCGCCCTCCCCCATTGCACCAGAGGGAGCGATCGATAGTTGGTATCACTGTTAACTGTTTGGCCTCGCACCGAGGCCAAACAGTTAACAGTGATACCAACTATCATTCAACTTGCGTGACTACCGAGATTCAATTTGATAGTGAAATGTGGTAATAATGTTATTTAATATAAGTGTCTTAAACGATCTTACATTTATTATGGAGGGCCAGAGACCAAAAGTAAAAACGTTGAAGGTTTCGGCTTTAAAATCTATCAAACGTATAACTATGAAAAGTTATCAGCCTGAAGCACTCCATAAAATTCTGATCAAAGCTTCTTGCTCGGGTAAAGAAATTTTCAGAACATGGCATAAAGACGACTTACGGAAATGACGTCATTATGCGCTCAGGAATAACCAGAACGTGCAAGTTCGAAGAGCCACCCGAGGTAGAGTAAAAGGTACGGTTTCATGGGGATATGTAGGGAAGATAATAGTTGACCCTAAACTTGAACAGGTTAAGATGATAGTGATCAAGGAAGCACACTCCTGGGAGTCGGTTCAACAGAGAAGCGATTCCGCGAATATGAAATCTTTTGTGTACACATGTTTAGTTTTCTCATGTCAAGTCCGGACAATCGGAAATCGGGGGCTACGCGCGTGCGCGTATCTCACACACACACACACACACACCTCATTTATTAAACCAAGTAAATTTACATTCGGACTATTGTCCTTATCTTTGTTGTTATAATCAGAACGTTTTGGCCGTTGCACCCTCCGGCCTTCATCAGGTGTATATCAATCCGGGTAACCTACTGGGAATTTCGAACTGAATTGTTTCGATATGCACCCGATGAAGGCCGGAGAGCACCACGGCCGAAACGTTGTGATAACATGATGAGGACTATCGTCAGAATGTAAATAGCGTAAATAATGATGACTCTTCATCTCAGTAATTCAGAAATTGTATATGACGGAAAGACATCTTGAAATTTGAATCCTAGAAAATTGGCTTTTGTCTCTTTCTCTTCTTGCTCTTCTCACTTGTCTTTTATGATATCATGAATAAGGTCATGACCTCCCAAAATAAGTTACAAACAACAAATGTTATCGCAAAAATTGGCCACTTCAGAATCAGCTCTTCAACTCAAAGGAAGTCAACATAGCATGAAATTCCTTGGCCGATAGAAGAGGACGTTCACCAATTCCATGCTCAAACGCCATAAAATAGGAGACGGCAGACAGTTTATTGTCTGCAGGTGAAGTGGCACCAAACAGAGGGAAAGTTGGATTTATTGTCTTTTAATAGAGGGGAGAGAAAACAGAAAATAGGCTTGCATCTGTGTAGTTAAATTTATGCGTTTAAGTGTGACATTATATAAGCAAACAGTTTATTTAGGCAGCAACCTCCTTTCTTTAAAAACTCATCAAAAGGCTTGCAGCGGGCGGGAGGGATTTTAATTTTTTGCTAATAGGAATGTAGATTTTCAAGAAAAAAAAAAGAAGCTTGGATGTGCGGGTGGTGTAATGGATAATGATTTTGAAAATTGGAAAACCAGGTTCAAATTTCAGTTGTGCTCATTAGATTCATTTGCGAATATTGATATATATATTTCTAAATAATTAATAGATTCTATGTTTCTAATCCCATATCATTTATTATCACCTGAAACGTCATTTTAACGGATACCCGATAGTCGATCCATTTGAGAAATGTGTTTATCCACCTCTTCTCTCAGTTTGCGTTAATTAGTAGGATTTGTTTCAGTAAAAGATTGTCTACAAAAAAAAAAAAAAAAAAAAAATCTTACAAACTAAAAATATTTTCTGGCTTTAAATAACCTGCAAAAGGTTGATAAGTCGTAAAAAAAACCCCAATTAGTTACTGGAGTTTAAAAAAATGATAAATGTTATATTTTGCCGGTACACGTGTTTGTTTAAAAACGGATATGCCTTCTCAAATACGAATATGCACTAAATATAACGTTTATAGAGAGTTAATAAATAAATAAATGCATACAACACACAGGCACTCACTAGTTCCGGCACTGTCTAAGAGGCACCAATGCCTCGAGAAATCAACCTAAGTTTTTGTTTGGACTTTTTTTTAACGTTTTCTTCTTTGACAGACTTTATATTGGTAGGGTTGTTCATTGACGCTGAGTGCTATGCGAGAAAGGAATATTTCCTATTTGCATTTCCCCCATTATTCTTATTATCCTATCAGTGACATGGTAACATCTTAATACACGGACGGAAGAAGAACAGATGAAAGAAAAGGAAAGACAAACATGTTTTAATCTCAAAGTGATTTTTATACTGCTATAAGTCATACACAAAGTTGAATACAAATATTTACACTTGTCCAGCACAGAGAAGCTACGACACATGTATACAAAAACAAGCAATGTAATAATGTCAAAGAGACACAGAGTCTTACTTGTAAGAATTCCCAGCGGGAATTTGGCTTGCCGGAGGATTCTTCTAAGCTTTTAGAGAAGCCATATTTTTCTGAACGGGAAAACGGCAAGGCTATGTGGTGCAGCCATATTTATATACGGGAAATCTAAAATAATTTCCATGCCTGGGGATGGTTGAATGTACAGCCGAAAGTACTAGCAGATAAAAAAAAAAGACCTTATACAACTTGATGTTATTAAAAACAAGGATCATAACATTCATCGAGTGATTCGTAGGTTAATGTAACTTTAAAATTGTTTGCGAAGATGTTTTTCGCCATTTATATCATTAATTTTATTAATCTACTTTTTGTATGAATGATTCATGTAATAAAAATTGAACTGCACCACATATTTGATATATATATTTGTAAATAATTAATAGATTCTATGTTTCTAATCCCATATCATTTATTATCACCTGAAACGTCATTTTAACGGATACCCGATAGTCGATCCATTTATTTTTGTTCATTCGAATCCCTACAGGAAATGACTGAAAAACTCTTACCCTTCTCAATTTATAGTCAGAAGCATACAAATGCATGCTGGGATTTCTTTCCAGTCAATAAAATAGACCGGTTCTTAGTTTCATCTGTTTTCGTCCTGGTCTGTCTTGAAGTCAGAAGGCTCTGTTCATTTGTATGAAGTTGCTCTTGCGTGTCAAATTTTTGCCTTATTACTGTTAATTTGCCTTGCGTATATTGTTTACTTGCTTTATATTATATTTTGAACAGTTTTTTTTTTTTTTCATTTTCTTGTTATTGCTTATTGCAAACTTTTGTCAATTATGTTTGTTGGACATTTCTAACATTTAGTTTACATTCAAC